GTCAGTCAGTCAGTCAGTCAGTCAGTCAGTCAGTCAGTCAGTCAGTCAGTCAGTCAGTCAGTCAGTTGTTTGTTATAACTGTGGACGCATAGCGCTGCTGACCATCTCATTTCGCCGGCCAATCTATTCTTCCAGTTTTCCATCACCAATAAACACGCCCTAGAATTAGGTGGAATTCTCCATCTCTTCCGCTGTTGCTCCGTTTATTTGCAGACCGCACTGTGTTAGGAGAACGAGACAGCACTATGCCTTTGGTTTCAGACATGTTCATCTGCATGCCGCGCTACGTCGCAATCGCGTGAAGTGTTTCTGAAAATTTCTGACTATGTTTTTTCCAATAAATTTTACTTTATCGAGCGAAGTTTGCTAAAACTTTCTAAGTTGCTTCGCCTTTGCTCATGTGTTCTACCATGCCAGCTCTTAGTGAATTCTTATTCATGTATAAGACCTGAAAGCTGAACGGCGAACAGCGCTTAACGTTCCGAAAATGCACTGATGATGAAACGTTATTTTTGAAGATCAGTAAAAAATATTTGAATGTTAACCGAAGTTTTGCTGTTTCCCGTCGAGGGTAGTTTCATCCAGTATTTTTTGTTACCAATGCAAATATTCCATAAATCAATATGCAGTTGAGGGCTCAAAAGAATGCAATCGATTTCCAAGAAAGTAGAATATACGTATATTAGCACATCTCATCTGAAAATATTCGCAAAATGTTCTGAAATATGCGCCATGAAGATTCAAAGCTTATCCACTGTGGCCACAATGTAGGACAGGCTATTTTAACATGCAGCAGAACAGCATGCACTATTTTCTCTAACTGATTACTACATTTATGCTTATTTTAGGACACCATATTTGCAAAGAAATAATTCAGCTCTGTGAAATTATTGACAACCATGGTGACCACAACGAGGACGGTACGGTTTCGATTTTGTTTGGTCAGCTGTTTGAAATTTACACTCATGTCTCAAACAAGGTTTGTTTTTTCTACTTCGCTGAGCGCTAAATAGTTCTGCTAATTTGATGTAATACCTTGTAAACTTTTTCTGTTCTAATTCCCTTACTGAATAAGGAGAGTTAAGTTTTCAACTGATAGCATGTATTCTGATTTATTATCATATTATCTTTAACAATTCTACCTCCTTTTACTACAACATTACAGAGCATAATATGCCTATATTTTAAATCTCTACTACGGGAAGTGCTCTGAATAGTGCCATCATATAAATTGCAGTCAGTTTGAATGACACACTACTGCACCGAATTTCGCTTTCAAGTGCGGTATAACTAAAAGTATAAATAATAATTTCGTTCCTTATACGATGAATTTTATCACCGGATCGGTAAACGGGAACACTGAAGCGAGTTCGGCTAACGCATACAGAAAAAAATAATTTTATAAACAAGTTTGATTGCTTAATTCAGTTGGGATATACAACTGGTAGTTACGACTGATCATTTTGGACTGGAGTCAGACGTCGTTCTGACGTCATCAGATCCTGAATTTATATGGCACTGTAGATGCATTTTTTATTAGTACACCTGAGAGTACTTTACTCTTTACTGCACTATAGAACAAAGGCTTTTCGCTGTCGTCGCGTAGACAGTTCAGATGAAACTGATCGTGAAATTCCGGAGACGGACTGTGAATATATAATCTTTTATGTAATTACCAATGAAGGTATTGATATGTCGATTTCATGCCGTAAAAAGATGTTTGCACCCTTCAGATTTATACTTTAATTGCTTAATGACTCAGCAGCAAAACAAATTTAGAGATATTGATGTTTCATGCACTTTGTGCATGGTGGAGAAATACAGCTTTTGCTAATGACATATGCTAATGACATGCTAATAGCACGTATTGTTTAGCCCCGTAACCGTGAATTTTAGCATCACCCACCCCTTCTCATTTGCCGTCAGTCTCACAACTTGGTTTCTTTTAAGATTTTTCTTTCTATCAGTTGATTTTTAGCATAGTGTTCAGTAAGGCCGAGCCTTAGAAAATCTTCATTACTTTGTTGGAATGGATGTTCATCTTGTGATCGATATCGACCTGAACAATCAGGTAATTGGAATTGCACTGCTGGTGAGCGGCTGCACAGCACTTGCTCGATCGCCACACAGCAGTGTTTTTTCACTTTCCAACCTGTTGACGTCTCGCAAATATAGCACCTCGTTTACAAGTTCATTTTCATGCCTGGTTGTTCCCTTTGGGTTGCGAAGGAAGCTGCTTCAGCAAATTCTTCTAGTTATTTCTACCGGACAGGACTCTAAGGTGCGACAACCCCAGATGTTCAATATACTCAAGTGATTTGGTCGTCATTCCACCCCTTGCCGTCTTCAATGCTGCTTCGTGAATCTCCCTTCCTGTGTGCTGATCAGATTTTCTACCCATGGTGTCTTTGTCGAACTTATGATCTGTTAATCAAAAGCATCTCAGAGAGAATGTCATGGACTGCTGTATTTCAAAGCTTCCCGAGCTTCGTGACATTTAGTAGTAATTCTTCAAATTTACGTCATTTTGCCGTGTGTGGCCGGGATCATCTTTTTAGTGAATATCCAGCACTTGTGACTCAGCGAGATATTTTGGTACTTTGACAGACCTAATGAAAGGAAACTTTTACCATTATCAAACACTTTTTAACCTAGCGCACAATTGTGCTCGCCTGACCGATTTTTACGTGCATTTCCGCGGCTTGCCTGATGCGACTTGTGAATACTCTGAGGCAATGAAACTTCCCCATCAGTCTGAGACACAATTCAGTTACCTTCAGAGTGCGCGGATAAGTCTTCCTGCGAGCACAAAAGTGATGATCATAAAAAGAGACAAAAACAGCGGGAAGTATCTGCAAACATTATGTGACCCAATCGAACATCCTTTGCTATGACGCCTATGACGTCCTCCGTGCTAAGGCGATGCGTGCCAATTTAATAAATGAAAGGTACTTTGAAAGACATGTTATTAACACTGCAATACTCTTCTCAGAAAACTGTCGTGAAAAAACAGCGATATGCTGGTAATCATATGCATTTTAAAATTCAAGATAGACTGTCGCTAGTTTATTGAAAAGTAGAGGAAAATGTCAGCTATAAGTTAATCAGTGCATTGTGTAAATCATAATTTCTGTCGAACAAATGAATACTGCTATATGCATGTAGATTCTTCACTTTCGTGCATGCCGTAACTGTGATTTTGCTTTTCGATTCTTACTGACAGCCTTACCTTATAGGTTGTAGGAATGCTGTTGAGAGCACGCAAGCACAAAATCATCATATTTCCGGGTGAAATGCTGTATCAGCGGCGCGACGATCTTGTGCCGATTGTCATGCTGTTACCGCTAGAAAAGATCCGGATGTTTTACGAGGGAACCGACGATCCCGCAAGTTGCGTCGCTACAAAGTGAACCGGATTAACTGCTGCTTCCTTGACCTTTTTCAGGTCTAAGTCAGAGCAGTGCAGGATATTTTCAAAAACTGTCTCACTTGCCTTTAAATTAAGTGCCATGAATGAATTGCCTGATTTTGGCACGTGATGTTTTTAAAGTACCGAACTCTGTAACGTTGTTTTTTTCAAAATGTTTATTTTTGCGTTTCTCTATAGCATAGTGAATAGAAGCTGTGGCAGTTGTGATGAATGATTATTTTTCATCCTGCTTTAAACTGTCTGAACACTATATTTATCTTTAACACAGAAGATCGATGAAATAACTTTCAGTGCAAGAGAAAGCAACTCAATGACGGTGCAATTATTTAGATACCAACAGAAAATTTTTCAGTTTCAGCAACAGTTTTTCAGTTGTGTTCATTTGAAAAGTAAAAACAAAACGAGTAGTCAAGCGATATCTGCGTAATTCTATTCGGGTAGCATAACAACGTAGATAATTAACGGGAAGATTTCGCAACGAAATATTTTAAATTCTTTATATTTCCACACAACTGCGGCTTTCTCCGGTACAGTGCATAAACAATAAGTGTTATGGCAAAATAAATAGCGTTAATGAGCAAATACTGTGAACTCTAGTCTTTGGAAATGTCAAAGGAAGCTATGCAATTATCACACAGCTTGTTTTCATAGCTGAGATGTGCAAAGATTTTGCGACCACCAATTTGGCTTTAAGATTCGTAGTCGGCTACTGAAATATAATTGTCAACTAGATGATAACCGCGTTTTATAGCGAGGGTAATAAACCAGTAACGTTCGCAATAGCCCCCCCCCTTCGTGTCTTCACCAAATCGAACAAAGTTCTAAAAATCTCTCAAATATAAATCCGTTCATAACTGCTACAATGAATGGAATAGATTATATTCCGTTTGCTTAATAGAGGTAGATCTTGATGCAGTTTCTTGTAAAGCATAGAACCCAAAGTGAAGTCTTGAGAACAGAATATTTTCAAACACTAGCTAGTAAAAATGTTCAAGACGACGATAAAGTCAAACTTGTGATCAATGAATTGGTGTACATCTCAGCTAACGCTGGAGTTTTCTGTATCCGCAAATTAAACTACTTGACGCTATTCATATTACTGTAACTTTCACTGTCTATACATTGTCCCTAAAAACCACTGTTCTGCGGCCGAAGCGTTGACCATTATGCAATAAAGCCTTGTTTAATTTCAACATCAGTCTTACCTTTGCCCACAAAGTCATTGAGTTTGAAATTTAACGAATTTAAGAGTTCGTGGTGCAGAATCAGAATTAAATTCCGGTCATAAGAAAATATTTTAAATTGAACAATTCAAAAATATTTGGTGTCATGGGAAATAGGAACAGTGATGAAGACTTTTTTGTAGGCTAATCCAGATTATTGGCAAATCTAGCCCATAGTCTTAATTTATAAAATGTTCAGGTATTTGATTCAGGAAGGCTTCTAACGAGACCTTCCAAAGACGTTCGATGCCATTGCAGCGGGTCTTGTTCCCGCGAAATCGATGTGTAGTTCATCCATAATATGATGATTGGCCAGTCCAGAAGCTACTTCCAACTTGCGCAATACTTTTTGCCCCGTGATCGCGTTTACTGGCCTTTTGTGTTCAACAAACTCTGACAGATGGCAAATCAGGCAGTTAAGTCAGAGTTGCGTTCAAGTCTAAAAGGCAGCTATTATGACTAATAATGGAAGTAAAAGACAGGATACTCTGCGGAGGACCCAACAAATGTTGTGTACAAAATTGACTGTCTGGCTTACAGCCTTATGCACAGGTCAGACGTCACGGCTATTCCGGGTTAGAGTTGCTGAGTGTAAGCGAGAGAGTAAAAGAGCGGTCGCTGGTCAAGGAACATAGTAGATGTTAAAAATAATTTATAGACTGGTTCATTATCATGCTACCACTGAGCACCACCTCGATACTGAGAAAGGAACATCCACTGCGATGGCATCGAACATCTTTACAGGGGTCTTGCTTAATATATTTTTGATTCAAACTACGTAACATATAATGAATTGGGACTGTTTGCTAGAAACATCAGTAACATGGATTGGCATAGAGGACACACCTGCTAGGTAAATACCATTCTAATCCGATGTAGGGGATCAGATGGACATTTCATTTATACCTGTACAGGATTGCGAGCCTGAGACAACAGATCGTCAAGACTAAGCTTGCTGATGATAACAGATATTGACATAATGTCGAACTGATGACTTTCACTTGTAAAAGTTAAGGAACTTCAGTGAGTCTTATTATTTGGCTGATGAAGGCTGGAGCTCCAGCCGAAATCTGGTCCCATTAAACAGGAATTTTTCTTGTGTATGTATTTCAAAGTTTTCAGTCGTTCTTTTGATTCTCTTGCAAGCTTTCTAGATTTGCTCGGCATGGACACAACCTCCTCCTGCTCTTCGCCGCAAGGAAATCGTTCGATCTCTCTTTTGTATTTTAGCATTTACAGTGAATGGTTGCAAAACCGCTTTACTGTGCTGGTACCAGCGAAAGGCTGTTCAAACTTCTACCGAAATGTAACTATCCGTAGGCTTATAAATAAATAAGAATTTCTCCAGTAGTATGAGTTTACTAGTTTAGTTTTACGGCTAAAATATTTTTTTGAGTGTTGTACAGCCACTGATGATTTCCCTGGATTATCGTCTGTAGTAAGTACTGTGAAAAGTAGTCAAGAGCGTATCGCTGAACGATCGTATGAGCGACGATACCACTTCCCGCAGGCAAGAGCCAATGCTGTACCTGCCTATGAGACGAATTTAATGTGATTGCCGAGCTGCTTTCAATTTAGTTCAACTTTGTGCAATCATGAATTTATGAGGAAGCAAAGTAACTTTCACATTCTGAAAATTTTCTAAGAAACAAACGAACTCCTTGATTGAGAACTAATTGCAGCTCTAACAAAATACTCTCTGGGTGCAGCGCTGGATCCAAAGTTTGATGTGAAAAGTGTCCCAATTTAAATTCCAAACAGAAGCAGTTTTATAATTTTATGAATATTTGTTTCCTCGGTATATTGTGCGAATTCAATGCTGCCACAAATGTTACAACCATAAAAATCTTCCAAAATTGCTAAAGGCACAGCAAGATATCAAAACGCGCTTATCATGTACTTCGTGAGGTTCACACCCATCGGCTTCAGCACGAGCAAATCGAACATCGATTCAAACTTCTAAACCAAAGACTTCAATCAGCATCGAGAAAAAGAAGCGAGACAATGACCGAATCATCCGTGTGCAGAATCAAAAGATCATGGATATTATTAAATTTTGCTCGTGAACTATGACCTGTTGTTAATCTGTTTCCGTGAATAATGAACTCGTTCATCGTTTAAACCTGACGCTAGTTCACTGTCGCATTATGAGTCGGTTATTCAACACCAGCGTTCAATTTCTTCGCTTTTTTTACAAAGGTATCAAACCAAATTTGGAAGAAGCAGAATATCGTCGTCCTTGTAGTTCACATCAGTGAATCTTAGCTGTGTGCCGACATTCCAGTGCTGCTTGTCACATATTTCAAAATGAATTCCATGTTAAGCAGAACTATGAGATATGACCAAGCGGTATGACTTTACCAGCATTGCCAAAAGCTGGCAAAAATTCGTTTTCAGAGCTTCCGTCGTGACGACTTGGTCGCTTAATTAATCGCAACTTCGATGTGGGAAGATCAGCCTGTAGAAATTTTTTTTAAATGTTTCCAATTTTCCTGCAAAGATTTCCTTTAATGCACAGGTAGCATGGAAATGCCAACATTGGTCCCTGTTGCAGATCTTCCTGCGGCAAATCACAACCAGCTCGTCACTTTCTTTCTGCAAGCGGAAACAATTGCATTGACGGCACAAGGGCGACAAATTGGTCCATGAATGCAGAAATTCAGCGCCAGTTGTTTCGCATGTGCCCCATCAACGTGACATGCTAAAAAGGACCGCTTGAAAGTATGGAATCAGAACTCGGGTGGTATTCAAGTCCGAAACAACTTCGCTACAACCGATGCACCAAAAAAGCACTTAGCTGAAGTCCATTTAACGAAGTTGGATCTACTCCACACCTTGCTATTGCGATCTTACGTACATAAGAGTAACGGATAGCCTTGTAGTAGACAGGAAGGAAGAATATGCAAGATGGTGCCTCACCGATTTACGGTGCCATGCCGAATAAATGCACGCAACAAGGTAAATTACAGCAGACAAATGAAAGATCCTTTGTTAGCGATAAAGAAAGCAAAAACAAGCAGTGGAAAATTTGGCGCGGAAAGGCATCATTTTAGGAAGAAGAGTTTGCATTTTGTGCTGACTATTAAACTGCATAATTATCTATTACGGGACTGATTTGAATAGCATCCCTTACCGTTCCCTGGGGTTCGCATCAGATGAAGTGACGGAATCTCTTGCATGTTTTAGTATGGTGACACAACATACCAATATGCTGTCCGTTTTGGTTGTAAGTCAATAAAGCGAATTTACGGTCAGGGCAAGGATTGGGAACAGTGCCGCGGTAGTTTAGTAGGTTGTTTTGTTCGATAGAACGCCTGATTCAAATCCAACACGTTCCATAAATGTTCCCTTACTAGCGGCTAACTCCACTGAGCAAGGAATTCACCTTATTGTGCTAACCACGAGAAAATAGGGCAGGTGGCTGGTCTGCTAACATCGGGGTAGTTGTAAGGCTGTCGAGTCGATTTCTCAGCCAGCGGCAACGAATTAATGCTCTCGTGAGAATGAATTGCGCAGCGAGCGGCTTCAATCCATCATTCCAGCAGTCAACACTACAAGTGGTAAGTCTCGTGTTGCATGCTGGACGTTTCCTCCTTTCCTGGCTTGAGCAAGTTAGACGATATCTGTCGTATAGCTAGTCGGTACAAACTCGATCTACTGGTTATCGGGAAGCTGGCTTCATGGAGAAGGGGATGTTTGACTTGCAGGATGGATGGTCATCTTGGTGTTCAGACAACAGTAGATTATGGGATATGTG